GCGGCGACAAAGCGATCTTCTCCCGTGCACGCAACTTCTTTCTTTCCCGAATTTGTTCCTCATTTTCATTGAACCCGAATCGTGATCGCTGCTGCTGTTTCTGGACATCGTTTCCCGTTGCATGCTCTCCGCTACTCTCGTCGGTCGTCGGGGTAGTCACGTCCATTTCGTTATCTGCATTCAACATCTCCAACCCCGTATCCGTTTCCTGATCGCTAATGACAAACGACGCACCTTCCACCACTACACCAGCATACGTACTGCTGCTGTGTTGTTTTCTTTCACTTTGCTTTCCTTTTTCCTTCAGTTGCTTCTCCGGTTCCTTCCGAGCCTTCCGCTTGGGACAGGAAAGCTTCCGGTGTCCGTCCGCCTTGCACAGAAAACATTTGTCTTTGTTGCCATCATAAAAAATGTTTCCTTTGCGATTGAAGAAATGTAATGACGTGGGGATTTCCTTCTTCACATCCATATATACACCGCGTATCCCTGTATACACCTCAAAACACAGATCAGTTGGAAATTTCTCCCGGATGATGCGTTTAATTTTCCCATATTTCCCCAGCACTTTATCCAGCTCGTTGTCGGGTACCTCTGGTGGCAAGTCATACACACGCACATATTGAATGAATTCACCAGCATGCGACATGCGTACCTTTGCCGTCGTTCCATTCGCATAATGGAAGATTAAATCCTCCGAATTGAATGTCAGAGCATGGAGCATCGCTTCCTCTGATTTGAACTTCATGAAGACTCCCCTTTCCTCACCAATGCGATAAACAGCTTCCATTTCAGCCGGATCCGCGTCGAGTGCTTTGGCGAAATTTACTATCTCTCCGATGTTTGGTTTGGCATCACAATGGCTGAAGCTAAACTTGATGGTGTTTTTTACTTCACACATCTTGCACCGTAGCAACAAAAGGCACCGAACTGCTAGCAACGAACAAAGAGCAACTATATAATAGCGAGTCTCGAAAACAGGCTATCGTGTGGTTCACAACGAAATAAAAAATCGACTGCTGCTGTAGACAGCTGTAGGGCAACTGAATAATTTAATTGAACTTAGCTTACATCATTTTGATATTTTTCAGAAAGTGCTCAAATATTATGAATGTCAATAAGGTATTATATTCTTTATACATTACTGGCTTACTGACAACATTCAGCTTCTCTAAAGTTGTGCTCAACGAACTACACTTTTTTTTAATTACCTTGTTCTTTCTAGTCATCTTGATTTATTTGTACTCAATCCAATCTACCTCTCATTAATGTCCTTTGAATTATTTTCAGTCAAGCTTTTCTTTATATTGTGGATCTTAAGAAAAAAATCCATCCGGTGACTATCGTAGAGTTCCACCGCCGGTATGAAAATGAGCTGAATACTGAAAAAAAAAACACAGTGTGCAATGCTATGAACTATAGCTATATTTGTATGAGCACATCCATGGGCACACTTGTATAGTTTTTGTATAGTTGTTGTATAGGGCTCATAATTATTATACAAGCAATGCCCATGCTCATAGTTTGTCATCCAAGTGTATCCGCGGCATAATTCCCATAATTCATTGAAGTCTTGTTTATTTGAAAATAAATCCTTGGAAGAATTAGGTTTTGAATTTGAATTACCTAGATGTTAAATGCTGTTTCTGACAGCACTCACCACCAGAGGGCCTTCAATCTAATTTCTTTTAATTCAACCCGGAATTCTTTTACGTACTGCAGTGTAGGCAATTTTCTCCATCCGTTATTCTCATGGTAAACATTAGTCGCCGAAATAAGATTTTTTGGTTTTTCTATATGTAGAGAGAGCTGCGCCATATTTTTCCACACATGGGGCAGACCAGTTGATTGCAGGATTTAATGTTTCGACATTCGGTCTGGCTGTACGTTCGACGAAGAAGCGATGGGTAAGATCGGAGGAAGCGTGTTGCCGGAATTGGAAGGGGAAGTTTGGACAATTGTTTGGTATTACCTTTAGCCAGGATCTGTAGGGGAATTTGTATGTGGGGAGTTCACTTGGTTGAGGAAGGAACTATAATAAGGAAGTGAGACAATTTCCTGCAAGAAGTGTTAATTAATTATTAATTCCTTATACTTCATCGCTGGTAGTAGTATGTTGAGATCGCCATCCTCCCATCTGCGCACTAGCTGCTCCATGGTCGCACATGCACCACGGCATAGATAACTCCGCATGGTAGCCGTCAGCTTCGCCACGTGTGCTGCCGTAGAATGAAGATTTGCTGCCACATTTTCGATGATATGAAAGTGTATATAGCAGGGTTACCTTTGGATGTAAAAACAACCTGTGCAAAGATAGTCACAAGTTGGTCCCAATTCGGCTTGAGAATTAACGGTACGGTAACGGTAACGGTAGAGTACAAAAAGATGCATAGATAGAGGGATCCCTAGGTGGACCGAACGTTGGATCTGGAAGAGTGCAGAGACGCGTCCGTTGATGCAAGTGAGATGAAGGAGCTGCTGCCATACGGGAGAGTAATTCTACAAGCGCCGTGTTGAATCCCAAAGCTCTATCGTATTGAACAAAAAACGTTGGTCCACACGATCGAATGCATGGTCGAGATCGAAAGAAATCAGTTTTCCCTTTTGCCTGTTCCCTTTTAGCTATGCAATTCTATCTTTCACTGGTAACGTAGCCTGAAAGATATTGCGTGCAGTATTTGAATCTTTTTGCGAGCCATCATTCACCATTGACACGGAGCACATTTTCAAGCCGTTGTTATTGTTATTGACCTGTAGGAACGTGCGGTGTCCCCCGCACTTCGTTACTTCATCGGACCATCCATCGACGAACTGAGTTTGAATGTATGATCGAATGTACACAGATAAATCTCTTTCGGCAGACCATCGGAGCCTGGTGATTTTCTTGATGCGCTTGTGTAGATAGTAGAAAGTATTTCTGCCGTTGTAATTTCATTTACGCAGGCTCCCCGTTTTTGAAATCCTGCTCAGGGTGCTCTCTTGCACTGAAAGGGACCACCTTCTTCTTCATCTTCGTCCATGTGACAGCGTGCGTTTTTCGGCGCCTTCGTTTGGTAGGCCGACAACTGCTCGCACGAACATTTCGGAGAAGCGTCGTTGAAGTGAGAGTATTACGGCAGGACTCGAGTTATGTCCCGTCACATCACATTGTCGAATCACACAGTTGAAGTCGCCTTCTAAGATGATATGATCCGTGCAATGACGGTGCCCGGTGAATGTCTACGTGGACGTGGGCAGTTATTCGAGTCACGAGATGTTTGTGAGCTGTCCGTTTCGTTGCCATCGGTCCTGCAACGAGATACGATAGTGCAGATCAGGATTGAATGCGGCGAGAGTTGCATGACAGCTTGTGCTGCGGAGGGTTTTGTTGTAGCAGGTGTAGCGGGGGTGGTATCTGTTTTTCTATTTTGCTGCTGCAACTCTTGTTTCACTTACTACAAGTAGACTTGACATCAGGCCCGATGTACCTGAACCATGAACCTGGGACCAACGGCTATACTTCCCTCATCATCATCATCATCAGAGATGTTAAGCCTCAGAACATACCGACGGCGTCGACTGGGATTGAACCCAGGCCTGCTAGGGTGAGAGGTAATCACGCTTACCACTACACCACCGGCGCCGCTTGTGCCGTCGAACTCGAGATGGTTAGATCGGTTGGGGTTTGAAACGTTTGCTACAGCTTCGTAGAAAAGGAATGTTCTTCGTTACTATAATTCGAGCCACACGAACATCGGCTCATTCACCCACCAACCGACGGATCAGTTGGTGGTGGTGCGACTGTACTGCCTCGGTGGCACGTAGGGGGTTATACCGGCCATGTACATCCCAATGGGGATGTGCGCGGTTCCGTCGAGACGTGTATGCAGAAGTTCCCATCATGGCGTATTGTGTTGGTTGGGGCGATTAAAATATGACATCCACAAGTTTTGATGTTTTTACCCATTTCCCCTCCCCCGTGTGTCACGCTTTTTCAATACCTATTACACGTACACACTTAGATTTTTTTGCCGAGATGGGCACCACCGAGCAGCTCGGCATTTTATTTTGCTGGAAATTCAGCAAAAAATATGTTTGTTAGCTGAGATCTCGGCAAAATTCCCGTTTGTTAGCTGAATCTCGGCAAGTTTTTCACTGAGATCCAGCAAAATAAAATGCCGAGCTGCTCGGTGGTGCCCATCTCGGCGAAAAAATCTAAGTGTGTACTGTCACCAGGGAAGAAGCACTCCTACCTCTTCTAATAACAAGTAGCCATAGCGAGCATAACCGCGGGCCCACGCTTGTGCCTAGCTTTGTTTGCTTTGTTTTGACTTTTTTATGCTGCCTACACACTCTTGGACTCTCCCCCCTCCCCCCACTTTAAGAGTGGGCGTCAGATTTGAATCGCCCCTGTGGACTTCCCTTTTTTGCGTGTCTACCTGGCGCCTAAAAGTATGCTATGCCTACGCAACTCAATGGTCCGAAGTTACGAATCTATGGATAGCGGCGCCGGTGGTGTAGTGGTAAGCGTGATTACCTCTCAGCCCAGCAGGCCTGGGTTCAATCCCAGTTGGCGCCGCCGGGATGTTCTGAAGCATAACATCTCTAATCACGGTTTCCTTCGTAAGGGAAGTAAAACCGTTGGTCCCCGGTTCATGAGTTGATGGTAACGGAAAACAAGATCGACGGAAAACAAATCAAGGAAAAAAAAATACTATGGGAGATTTTAAGTTCCACTTATGTTACTCTAACTTTGGTTCTGGTCTGTTGTTGTTGTCCCAATGCTGTCAAAACTGAAAACCTATGTGGTTGCTATGACGATAATTAATTTCTGTCATTTATGTAATGAAATTGACGAAGTTGATATGTACCATTTTATTTAAAAAATTTCACATTTTTCATTAATCGTAACAGAGACTTTCAACTTATTAAATTTAAACAGCATTTGGGTAACTCTAACTGAAGTTAGCGGTATAATTTAAAAACCTCCCATAGTAGCGTAGAACCGTTTAAACTTTACAAATTTTGTGCTAACTCTTAACCTGCATTTTAGGGGGTAGCTACAATACTTTCAACCAGATGTTTCAAAGGGAAGCACCTTTTGGTGAACATAGGTAGTATATTGGTCCACTAATGGTTGGTATTAAAGGAGTTTTCTCAAGAGTAACAAGTCGTAGCACTATGTTTTACATTCATATTTATAATTTCATATCCTAATTGGTTAATTTTCTATGTAATTATAATAGTTAGTACTATTATAATATATATATTAATAATATTTTAGTCGTTCACGAACTGTATACCTAATTCATAGATCTTCGACCGTTTTCGATACAATAAATTTTGACCAAATCCGAATAGGATAATAAACTGTACACCACAATGTTGTGTCCAAATTTGTAAATTTTATGAGTCACGATTGATCAAGATAGTTGAAAGATAGTCAACTCTACTCAACAAGAGTTTCCTCGAATTGAACCGGCAGTTACCAAAAGTGTGTGAATACACCATTACTCCCCAAAACAAGAATGAATCCTACGTGGCCCACCAACAAGACTACTTACCCGTGCGTCCCTCGGACGTACCTGCTACCGAAGATCGAAGCCGTCTCTTCCATGGATTCACCGTGTTTCATACCTGTGTCAATTATTTTCATGAAGTTTTACCGTTCTTCTTGCTGCCGTTAGTTCTGACCGGGGCGATCTTCTTTTTACGTTTCTCACCGGACCAGTCTGCATCATCTTCGTCATCTTCATCTGCTCCGAAATAGTTTCCACCATCCCTTGTATTTGCGATTCGCCGGCTAGCAATTCGTGATGAATTTCGACCCATTCCTAGGTTCGAAACATTACCATCAGATCGATTATGAAACAAGGCAAAACAACAACAAAAACCTACCCATACACTTTTCTAGATGCGGTGCAAATCGGGATGCAGCCACTATACGATTACAGTTGGGACAATTACAATCAATTGCTTTCTTACTGTTGGATGAACCGAACACGTCCATGTCCGGCAGATCGACAATCGTGTAAGGCTTACAGTCTTCTGGTTGACCCTCAATTGCTACACCGGAACCGGTCTTATACGCATGGTGTACCTCAAATACCACTCCCAGGATTGTTTCGTCGATCAGAGATTCCAGCAGGTAGTTTGCGGCTTTTTCCCGAGTATCCGAATCACTCATATAGCTGCGAAATTCGTTCAGTAGCTCAGTCTCGTCGGCATACTCGATATGTAAGGGCTCGTTTTCGCCCATTGCTGACGACTTTATTTTTCGTAGAAGTACTTATCCTTAATTTGAAACAATTGTTAATATTATTCGCTAGAATTCTTCAAGAATCGGTATGCGACCCGCAGTCACAAGTCGTAGCGCTCGGGTCCTGAGGTTTTTTGTTTATCTTTGTATTGACGTTTCACAAAACTTCACATGGTGTATTCATGAACAACGAAACGATTAACAAGATGTATACAAAAAAATGTGAAATTAAGGTCTCGAGTGTATAGGCAGCTGCACCAACAATCAATACGAAACTAACGATTTTAAATTGGCTCACCACTTTAGTAGCCTATTGGTCCCAAGCAAACGATTAACGTACCCTATTCTAGTCGAAATTCTAGTACTACGCAATGTTTGTTTTGATTCGCTATGAAAGTTTGACGGATAAAATGAGGGGTTATTGGTTTTTCCCTCGGTTTTTCCTATGTTTCGAGGGGTGATTCGATTAGCTTGGGACCGAAGAGAGTACCAGAGCTGAGCCAAAAAGATGAGCACTTTATTTCGGGACCTTCTAGTCTTAGAGTTACCTCTATGGCTGCACCGCCTGCACCGTCGGTTTAACCTCACATTTTTTGACATCTGGCAGTGGTTTCCTTCCATGGACTTAGAAAAAAATTAAAAAATATTTAAATGTTTTTTTTTAGATTTTTTGGAGAGGAATTTTCTTCAAATAAACATAGTCGGATATCATATGTTTTAGTTCTTTTTATTTAAAACCTCAAATCAACTTGAATTGCCTAACAAGCATAGGTAAACAAACCACCACTGGATGTCAAACTGATGAATGCGGGTTCATCACGTTCATTCGTGACGTCAGCGTTCAGCATCCTATTGAGTTCTCCAAGCAGGATGTCACGAACACTACACTAATAATGTAATAACACTAGCGTAAACTGTCATGTGCACGGTAAAATCAAACTTCCATTAATGAATAAAAGTGAACCCATTGTCAATAAAAGTGACGCTACTATTTAATGAGTAATTTATTTTGCCAATTAAGTACACAGCAAAAAAAAATGTAATATCGATCAACGTAATTCAAGCTGATGTATGAAATAATGATGTTATAGCAAAAAGCAGATACAATATTACATCAATGGATGTAATTTTGTTCGCAAAATCGATGTACATCGTACAATGTGATATTACACAACCGATGGATTGACCTGGTTGCAGCAGTTTCGATGTAATATTCAACAACTTTTTTTGCTGTGTAGTAACTGTTATACCAACAATCAATACGAAACTAACGATTTTAAATTGGCTCACCACTTTAGTAGCCTATTGGTCCCAAGCAAACGATTAACGTACCCTATTCTAGTTGAAATTCTATTACTACACTATTTTTGTTTTGATTCGCTATGAAAGTTTGACAGATAACATCAGGGGTGTGTGGATTCATGCAGAACATGCAGGGGTGAGTGAAATAGCTTGGGACTGCTTGGGACCGTTGTTCTGGTACTGAGTGAGCCAAAAATAATAATGATTTTCTTCGGGACCCAGTGGTCTTAAACCCTGTTCTCATTACGCTCTATATCAAGTGATATAGAGTGATTCGTGATATAGCAGCTATATCACGTTTTATATTACGTGATATCCCATACAAACGATCTGTCAATCTATATCATTAATAGTTCTTTATATAGCTCATATCATGTTGTGTACTTGATAAAATCCTGAAAATCAGTGACTGGCAACCATGCCACGATACAGCTGGTCGCTATGTTTTGGATTAAAATGTCACTTATCCGTCGAGTCAATCAAAACATTCAGAAAATCCGAACTGGCAGTTTCAAGCAACCGTTCTAAATCTCCTGTCCCACCCGAGACGAAGTTCTTCCGCAATCAATACTAATGGAAGGTTTCACGGTGGTGATCGCCTCCGGAGGATTCCGTGGTGAAATTTGGTGTCGGTGTTGACTCGTTCGTGTGCCCGGCGAACAAATAAATGTAGCAAATCAAATATTTTCTCCGGTACCCAACCAAAACGTTTTGGACGCCGTTTTGTGCCGACTGACCAGGTACCGTAGGAGGAAATCAAGAAGCTCTCCCGATGGGAAGTTAACAACATCAAGGCAAAAGTCGGTGAATAAGAGATTTCTCGCTAGCGTGATCCAACTGTAATCAATGGTGCTGAGCGCTCCCTAATACATAAATACCATAAACGAACTGTATCCCGGATGGGTAAACTATCCCACAAATGGTTTGGATAATACCCCGAACACGTCGTTAAGTTCTCTTTTATGGTTATTTTTATATTAGGGCTGCGCATGTTGTTTCCGCCTCAGACGTTCGATGATACTAAAAAGATCCGCATTTAAAGAACATCCATGTGGGATTTCTTTACCTTGCTCTGGCTTTCCTGTGTAGCCTGTAAAATCGACTCAATATCCTGATCCAGAAAACCATCGTTTTGAAAGTGAAAATGCAGCGTAGAACAGCTTTCCATTTGTATGATATGTAACTGGTCAGGCTGCGGCAAATATTCCGACACTCATTGGTCAAAAGTATCCGGATCTCTTCGGTACTGGCTTCGTACGCTCTGAAAACTTCCACGCGATACCGCCGTCAGGATAGGTTTCCATAGCAAACTCAAATCCCTGATGCTGCACATGCAAACAATAACAAAGTTGGTCTTTTTTCTGGTTTGTCTTTTTTCACTGTCATAAATGAAAAACTATATCAAGTTATCGTAATGTGAACACCTCAACTTGATATCGATATCATCTCGTTATATCACGTGATATAGAGCGTAATGAGAACGAGGTATTAGCATAGAGGTAACTCTAAGACCACTGGGTCCCGAAGAAAATCATTATTATTTTTGGCTCACTCAGTACCAGAACAACGGTCCCAAGCAGTCCCAAGCTATTTCACTCACCCCTGCATGTTCTGCATGAATCCACACACCCCTGATGTTATCTGTCAAACTTTCATAGCGAATCAAAACAAACATAGTGTAGTAATAGAATTTCAACTAGAATAGGGTACGTTAATCGTTTGCTTGGGACCAATAGGCTACTAAAGCGGTGAGCCAATTTAAAATCGTTAGTTTCGTATTGATTGTTGGTATTAGAGTTACCTCTATGGTTATACCCCGGACATACTATGGCTTATATCATGTAATATAGGTTGTCTTGCAATGAACACTCATACATCTAGGTTTCACTGGAAATCCAATGTATGAGTGCTCATTGCAAGACAGCCTATATTACATGATATAAGCCATAGTATGTCCAGGGTATTAGCTACAGTTAGCAGGAACTCATTGTTGTTAAAATAATTTACTCATTAATGAGTAAAGCCACTTTTATTAAAAAATGGGTTAACTTTTACTCATAAAAGGGTATTTGACTGTTACCGTGCAAGCGTAGGTTTTGTTTTCGTTTTGTTGTTTATTTTGACTTTATAGAATGACAGTTCTTATAGCAAACAAAAAATTTCTCACAGCTTACAAAAAATTTCATCTCACTAACACACGCAAATCGCACCAATACGAACCCGCCTGGAGAGGACTATTCAGGGGTCGAGTCAGGGGTAGATTGAGGCTGTTAAATACGAACAATCGTGACCTTATACATGCGAAAACCCATTAATGGGTAAAATAATACTAATTTTCAAACCATGTATGCAGCTGTAAAAAATAAATTGAATTTTGAAATCATAAAATGGGTAAAAACTACTCATTTAAAGAATCAGTTCACGGTTTATCGTCTCATTTCCTTCACCGACTCATTGGGAATGCAATCACGAGTGCAAACAGGTACTGCCCGCAGATTTTTTTCAGCGAAAATGGACGATCTCCGGAAAAGGTTACATTCCGAAACGTTGGAGAGGATTAATCAATACAGTTTTATCCAATACTAGCTGAGTGTACCCGACCAGGCTCGAGATTCAATATTAGCTAGAGTTTATGCGCCGATTAAAAAAAAGCGTGCTATATTGTACGTAGCCCCCCCCCCCTTCTTATCTGAGGGACTACCCCCTATGACCATCTCCTTATACCTCCACATGCCAAAGTTGGTTCCATTTGCTTGATTAGTTCTCGAGTTATGCAGATATATTTGTTTCATTTGTATGGGAGCCCCCCTGTTCGGACCAGTTCTCGAAATAAATTTCCACAGCAGTACACAGCAAAAAAAGTTGTTGAATATTACATCGAAACTGATGCAACCAGGTCAATCCATCGGTTGTGTAATATCACATTGTACGATGTACATCGATTTTGCGAACAAAATTACATCCATTGATGTAATATTGTATCTGCTTTTTGCTATTACATCATTATTTCATACATCAGCTTGAATTACGTTGATCGATATTACATTTTTTTTTGCTGTGTATGGTTTGTTGCACAGCTTGAAACTAAATTTATTTCATATTAGTTTGTATAATTGTATATAATCTATTTAATAACTCACATTTATGGTTTCTTTGTTCTGTTCAGGTTACATTCACGGGAGCCTTTCCTGGACTTCGAATTCCATCAACAATCTAAATAAAAGCGACAATTTTAATCACTGTCCCAAAAAATGATTGTTTTACTTACAATATAAATCTAGATTGAGCTGCACTGAAGTTAAATTAATTCCAATGAAAATTGCAAAAATAACTAGGCTCTTTACTACACTTCGATATCTCAGATACTGTTTTTGTTTACCTTATCCATGTACCTATTCCCAAGCTCACACACACACTCTCAGTCGATTCCTTTCCGCATGGTCCTTCACTGACGTTTAGGATCAACGTCTCTTGCGCTTCGCAGGTAGGGTATGGCGCAAGGTGTATTGATAGTGCTCGGCGGTGCGCACATACCCCCTCCCCGTAATTCTGGTGAGGGTCCCTCCGTAGAACCAGATTTACGATCCTGGACTTCCAGCACCGCCAACTTCGTTACAGGACGCCTGTACTCTCCTTTCGCCGTCTTTACCGACGCTTGCCTGATTCTGCCGTCTGCTCCAGGGTATACTTCAACTACCACGCCGCGTATCCAAGTCTTGCGTGTGGCTTCATCAGCGATGTAGACCAAGTCTCCACGACTAACTGGTTGCGCCTCCGATTGCCACTTCGATCGCTTGTTAATCGTGGGCAGATATTCCGCCACCCATCTCTTCCACAGCTGATCTGCCAAAGCTCGTTTGAAACTGTCCCGCAAAGCTTCAGCTTCGTTCGTGCTGGGAACCAGTTCCACTTTACCGGTCATCCCGATACCCTTCACGAAGTGATTCGGCGTAAGGGCTTCGATTGCATCCGATCCAAGGCCACAGTACGTTAAAGGGCGGGAATTGATCAGGTCTTCTGCCTCCGCCAACGTAGTCAACAATACTTCGTCCGTCAATCGTCTTCCGTCGTTGAACACCACCAAAGCTGCTTTCACTGAACGGACCAACCGTTCCCAGATTCCGCCCATATGGGGCGCGCTCGGCGGGTTGAAGTTCCAGCGAGTTCTAGCGTCTGTCATCGCCTCCTCGCAATCTCCCTCTATCGTCCTAACTATCTCCTTGCTCGCACCTTGGAAGTTCGTGCCATTATCAGAGAAGAATTCCACCGGCTTGCCCCTTCGGCACACAAATCTTCGAATCGCCATCAAGCATGCTTGCGTCGTCAGGCTATGAGCGACCTCCAGATGGATTGCTCTTGTAGATAGACATGTAAATAGGCATATCCACCGCTTTTCCGACCTACGACCAACCGTGACTGTTAGCGGTCCGCAATAGTCCACTCCAGTGAAACTGAATGGTTGCCAACCAGGGGTGACACGAGCCAACGGAAGCGGAGCCATTCTCGGGATCTTCGGCTGGCACTTCTTTCCTCTGCACCACACACACGCCTTCGTCACTGCCTTCAATTCTGTCCGGAGATTTGGGATCCTGAAACGCTGTCGGAGCTCGTTGACCACAGTTTCCCCATTTGCGTGGGCCGCTTGTTGGTGATGATATTCCAGCAACTTCGTCGTGATTGGGTGCTTCTTAGGCAAGATTACCGGGAATCGGAGTTCAAAGGGAAGGAATGAACCCTGTGCGGTTCTGCCTTCCATCCGGAGAACACCTTGCTCGTCTAAAAACGGGCTGACGTCGTACAAATTGCTATTCTTCTCCAACGGATGCCACTCGCTGTACGGAAGGTCACGGTTCTTCACAAGGATCTTTATTTCATCTTCGTAGGCCTCTGCCTGCGCCGACCGCCAAAGGTAGGCTTCAGCACGTTGAAACTCCTCTCGCTTCAGTGGAACCAACACAGTTAGTATAGACCTCTTCACCAACCGTTGCACCCTTGGTGGTGCTGAAATCACCTCGATCGCCAAGCCTTCCCGTTTCCTGATACAGTTGGATTTGAACCTGTAGATGCAGGCTACTGTTCGGACGAGAACCTTCCAACGAGAGAAACGCGTGGCATCGATTACCGTCTCGACTATCGAAATATCATGGAACAAATGGCATATTCGGGCTTCCTCTGGGGTATTCGGTTCTACGGTGTCTTGCTGCGACCATTCCTCTTCTGGCTGGTACAAGAATCGTGGGCCCTGGAACCACGGACCGTTCGAATCTAGACTGCTGCCCTTTTTCCACTTCGTTAAGTCGTCCGCAATGTTACTCGCCGTTGAAATCCATCGCCACTCACTATGCTTCGTGAGGCTCAGAATCTCGCCAATCCGGAAAGCGACGAATGGCTTGTATTTGCGTTGCTCTAACTGAATCTAAGAAATCACCGTTCTGGAATCGGACCAAATGAACCGCTTCTTCACCACCAATGAATGAGCCTCGATCACCGAATTCATCAACCTGGATCCTATGACTGCCGCTTGTAGCTCAAGACGAGGTATTGACAGCATTTTTAACGGAGCGACCTTCGATCTCGCCATCACCAGTGAACACAATGGGCCTTCATCTGTTAACACACGGAAATATGCAGCAGCACCATATGCATCTTTGCTGGCATCAACGAGGACATGGAGCTGTAGAGTGCTGTAGTCGACTGAACTGAACCTTCGAAAATAGTGGCGTGGAATCTTCACATTTTCAATCTCCGGAAGCCAACTGATCCATCGGTTCCACTTATCACAGCATTCGTCATCAATAGGTTGATCCCAGTCGCAGCCACTACGCCATAAGTCTTGAATTAGTATTTTTCCGTGGATAGTGAACGTTGCTAGCATCCCAAGGGGATCGAAAAGGCTCATGACACAGCTCATGATCACCCTTTTTGTCGGCCTTTGCTCTCCTGACAGATACGTCATCAGTTCATCCCGTAGCTTCACTAGAAACGTGAATTCATCCCCTAGCGGGCACCAAGCTATGCCCAAGACTCGTTCCAAACTCGTACCCATGTCGTCGGTGAGCTGAACGCATTTGTTACTTTTCTGCTCCCCCATGCTCTGCAGAAATTCGTCGGAGTTGGCCACCCAGTTGAGGATTTCGAAACCAGCCTTCGAGTGCACGTACTTCACCTCCTGGGCTCGCTTAACCGCCTGCTCTACTGTATCCATGCTGTCGAAATAATCATCGACGTAATGGTTCTCCACAATCGCCTTCGCCGCTTCCGGGAACTGTACTGCATACTCCTTCGCGTTGAGGTTTTTAACGAATTGGGCGGAGCATGGCGAGCTCGTCGCACCAAACATCGTCACGTCTATGATGTAGACCTTGAATTCCTCTGCTGAATTTCCTCGGAAGACGAATCGTGCACGCTTGTCGGCTTTACGGACCATCATTTGAAGGTACATCTCCCTAATGTCACCTCCAAAACCCACTTCTCGCTCACGGAACTTCGATAATACGCTCGGGAGTGGAGTTAGCATGTCCGGACCCTTAAGCAACTTCGAGTTCAGCGACACCCCATTTACTGCAGCCGCAGCGTCCCATACTAATCGGACTTTCCCTGGCTTCTTCGGATGCACTACTACACTCAGTGGCAAATACCACACCTTATCCGGTTGAAACTCAGCTAACTCAGACTTCGAAGCTACATGGATATACCCCTTCTTCGTATAATCGGCAATTAACTCCCTTACCTTATCATACAGGTTACTATCTTTGACCAACCGTCTCTCCAGACATCGGAATCTCTTGACCGCCATCGGATAGCTGTCTGGGAATCTTGGGTCATCCTCGCTCCACAAAAGACCCGTTTCGAAACGGTTTCCGATCCTCACGGTCGTGCTGTTCAGGATCTCTTTGGCTCGTTTGTCGTCACTGGATTCAGGAAGTAGCGCTACGGAAATCATGGACTCGTCCAGGGCGTAGTGACTCCGTAACAGGTCGTGCAAATCTTCGTTGGATACGATGTCACAGCTGTGGTGTCCGACTATCCCTGTTTCAGGATGGCTTGCGTGGGTAGGTCCGTAGATTGTCCAACCGAGTTTCGACTTGACGGCGATTGGTTCATCCGGTCTACCGATCCTAGATTCGATGGGAGCGTACAGGTGGATGTCTTTCAAGCCGATGAGAATTTGAGGAACTCCTCTGCGGAAATCGGATACCGGTATTCCTCGAAGGTGAGGATGTTCGTTGATCACTTCTGACATAGCTACTGTTTGTTGTGGTAGCTTCAGACTCTCGACCGTATGGGCAGCCATGATGCGGAAGCGGTGTAACGATCCTAGGGCAGAAATACAGAGCTCCACCCTCCGTGAATCCTTCTCCAAACGGGTTACTCCTGCTGTCCATGTCACGCGAAGCGGTTGTACAACTCCCTTTGCTTGCAGAATGGTTGCCAGTGACTTCTCGATCAACGTGTACGATGAACCTTCGTCCAAAAATGCTATGGTGTCTACGGCGTAGTTCCCGTTGTATAGGGTTACGGGAATCATTCGAAATATCACCGACTGTTGGCGCTGGATGGTATGGACGTTGCAGTTTGAGTTGGCTTGAGGCTGCTCGAAATGCAGCAGAGGATTGTGGGGCTCACTACATTGACCCACGTTGCATCGAAAATTGAGTTTGCAACGGGCATTTCCATGCTCATTCAAGCACAGATAGCATAACTTCCACTTTCGTACTGCCTCCCATCTTTCCGCGATCCGAAGTCTCCTAAAGGTCTCACAATTGCGGATCCGATGATCGAACTGTCCGCATATCCTGCATGGTTTCTTCTCCCTCTGCCATGAGCTCGATGACTGGCTTCGTTCGCTGTTTGCTTCAGCACTGTGAGTGTGCAGGAATCCCTCATTTTCCTTTCTGCCTTTTCCTTTCCGGAATCCTTGATCGGCTGCCGAAATAGTTGAATCGCCATACGGGGTAATCTCACTTGCGTCCCTGGCTATACACGAGAGAAAGTCAGCCAACGTTCGTAGGGTAATCACGCGAGCCTTTCTACGATAGCGAACCCACTCCAACTGTGTATTAGCCGGCAGCTTCTCCGTCAACTCCTGGATCAGCATCGGATTCATTAGATGTGTAGTGAGATCGGTAGCTTCTAGATGATCCGCTAACTGCTGAACGACTACACCGAACTGGATAAATGTAGCCAACTTATCGGCTCTCGGAGCAGGAGCCTTCCTGACCTTTGACAACAGCATGTTCAAAAGTTGCTCAGGTCTGCCATACAGCATCTTCAGAGTGTCGATTATCTGCGGTACTGCCTTCGGCAGAAGCAGCCTACTGCGTACCGCCTCTAGTGCTGAACCCTTCAAGCACTCTTGAAGTCGAGCCAAATTCTCGACGTCGGAAAATCCGCATGCATCATTGGATGTTTCATACGCGCTAATGAACATCGGCCATTCCTCTAGCCGTCCGGAAAATATCGGCAACTTCTTCGACAGGAATTGTCGTGCTGATAATTGTCTCTTTGTTGGATGACGGTGACGCTTCTTCGGACGACGCTTCTCTTCTACTTCCTCTTCTTCCGACGAAGTTTCTTCCTTTTCCAACCGACTTTCTTCCTCCATTTCCGACGAACCTTCATCCGATCCTGATTCCTCCGAATCCTCTTTCTCTTCCTCTGATCCGGACTCCTCTTCACTTTCCTCTTTTTCTTCTTCGCTACCGCTGGAACTGCTTTCCTTGTAAACTATCGGTTGCTTCTTGCTCTTCTTCTTCGTTGGCAGATCTGGATGCCTAAGCGGAGATTTATCCTTACTGGAGCTTGGAATCAATACAGGTACACCACCGACCTTCTTGGGAGTAGAAAACTTACGGTACGCTCCTTTGCTTGCATCCCTTGGATCAGCTTTCTCCAGATGTTTCTCCGACTTTTTCTTCTCGGACTTTCCTCTTCCTGGCTTTTCCTTCTCCATTGTAGCTTGCTCCGGCTGTACTGTCTTCTTCGTTTTCTTCTTGTGCCCATCTTCGCCTTTCGATGCTTTTCTTTCTTCATCTTGTTTTCTTCCTTGTCCTACATCCTTCTTCGTAGCCGGATCAATCCTCACTTGCTTCAGCTTATCCTGCACCTGCTTCAGAACTTGATCCCGTTTCTTCCGGTGCGCTTCTTTTTCGGCCAACTCCTTTTCCAGCTGCATCTTCTCGAATTCCAACTCCATCTCGCGTTTGTCCTTTTCTGCCTGTAGTCGCATCAAAAACATCTGCCGTTGGTGCTCTAGTCGCTTCTTATGCAGGATCTTTTCCTTCTCCAATGCCTGACTCTGTTCTTCCATCTGCTTTTCGAGTTTTTCCAACTCCTCATCCAGACCGGTCGGCGCTGATTTATCCACAGCTAATCCGACACACTCATCGCAGGACCAAGAGATGTCCTTCACTTCGTCCGTCACACCAGCACATCCGAAATGGTACCATCGTTGGCAATGGTCACAACCCACCATTTCGTCTTCGGCACTGTCCGGCAGTTGGCATCCCGCACAACTATAACCTGTCTTTTCCAGATCTGGTCTAGGTCCCGGCATCATAAATTTTCAAGATTGTTCGGACCAGTTCTCGAAATAAATTTCCACAGCAGTATGGTTTGTTGCACAGCTTGAAACTAAATTTATTTCATATTAGTTTGTATAATTGTATATAATCTATTTAATAACTCACATTTATGGTTTCTTTGTTCTTTTCAGGTTACATTCACGGGAGCCTTTCCTGGACTTCGAATTCCATCAACAATCTAAATAAAAGCGACAATTTTAATCACTGTCCCAAAAATGATTGTTTTACTTACAATATAAATCTAGATTGAGCTGCACTGAAGTTAAATTAATTCCAATGAAAATTGCAAAAATAACTAGGCTCTTTACTACACTTCGATATCTCAGATACTGTTTTTGTTTACCTTATCCATGTACCTATTCCCAAGCTCACACACACACTCTCAGTCGATTCCTTTCCGCATGGTCCTTCACTGACGTTTAGGATCAACGTCTCTTGCGCTTCGCAGGTAGGGTATGGCGCAAGGTGTATTGATAGTGCTCGGCGGTGCGCACACCCCCCCCCCCTTACAGAGGGAGCGGGGGTCTCGAACCATCATAAGAACCTTTTCCGGCCCCAAAGATCCCTGCATACAAATTTTCACGCCGATCGGCTCAGTAGTTTCCGAGTCTATAAGGGTCAGACAGATAGACAGAGAGACAGAAATTCATTTTTATGTACAGGGTGTTTGGTTCCGGGTTTTACATATTTTCATGGTAGATAGGGCTCCTAATGTTATGAAAAAATCCCCATGAAACAAAGGGTCGGAAATGACTGCTATGTGAGTTATTCAACATATTACGTTTTTTTTTTATTGCCAACTTTGGTTAGCTATATTTTCTTTATCTTATTGTGGATTTCTGATTTCAACATACCAAATGAAAGATTTAAGGCATACCTATCAATGCTCTTTAAAATAGAACTTGATTAAAGTTAATTATCATACATTAAAATTGAAAAGTATGTTGAATGTACAAGAAAAATGGTGAAATTTCATACATTTTAGTGTTTTTAAGTTGAAAATTTTAATTACTGTTAATTTATTTGTTCTACAAAACATTCTCCATGCAGTTCTCTAGATTTGTGCCTTTGGTAGTAACCTTGTAGGCTTTATGGTTTTTTCGTAATTATTGATTTAAAACAGCCATAAAAACTTGTGACGTTTTCTTAAAATGCGCTATAGTCACCCTATTCGTTCGTACGTTCGGCTGTTGCAGTGGGCTACGCACATGAAAAATTGGTAGAATGTTATTGTAAATGTTGAGCTACATTCTTAACTTTCGATTGGCGTCTTGCAGTGAAACTTTTCCAAGCTTTCGCCTCCTACATTTCGAAGTGAGAACTACTAGAAGGAGGATAGTTTCCAAATTTTCCAAGTAAAACAGACGATTTTTGGGGCAAATCGGTCCATAAAGAAAAACTAATAATTTCCCGTGGAAACTTTTGCTTGAATCGTGTAAGAAAACGTGTTTGAAAACTAATTGTTATTATTTCGGTATGGATCGGAGATGTTTTCATGGAAAATAATGCATAACAAGTTTGCACCCACAGCGAGAGGTTACCTCCTGCGCAGCTGCATTTTTCGGAAAATTGTGAATATGTGCGATTTCCACTAAGATGAGAGTGGAAATTAAGTGAATTTACTTAGGAAAGGTTGTATCATGCTGGTGGTAATGGAGAATTGGTTGTATAGGACGCCAATATTCAATAAATGTTCATTTTGGCCTTTTCTAAGCAAACATATTGATACTCACAATTTTCGACGGAAAACGCAACGGAACTTGCTTTACTCAACACGCACCATACTATAAAATGGTGCTAGATGGTTTTCAAAGTGATAACAAGATGACAAATCATCTTTATTTTGAGTAATTGAGCAATTTATTTCTGTTTATACATCATATTTACGATGCAGCATTGATGGAGCCGCGAAATGAAATGAATATATCTTATGAAAGTTCAACTGGAAAAGTCAAAAATGCACATCAGTCTGATCGTAATAACGTTTTCTTCTTCAATTCGAATGTTATATTGGAAGGATTTTACACAGGCTTGATGAAAATTATGATTTAACGCTAATTTTCCCGAATTTTATATGCAGTCTGTCAACATTATCATCATCATGCAGTGGCGACATCTGCGTTGAGCTTTTACGGCAATCTTCCAATTACCCTGCGTCGAAAAAAACATAACTGCATAGATGTTTCGCGGTATCGAGTATTGACAAATCCAAGTTTATGCCGGCCACCGTGGCGCTGTAATCGTAGCGGTGATGAACTTGAGATCATCTGTCAACTGCATATATTTTCAAGTTTGTGATAAGAAAACTATGTTTTACGTGTTATTGTAATCGCTTTATTCAATAACAGAAAGCAAATATGAACAGAAAAGTAGCGCCGGTAAGAAAGGTAAGTAAATCATCGAGTAAATCCTTATTTTTAAATGCAAACTTATTGAGATTTCTTCAAAATGAAAAATATGTTGCTCTCATCAAAACATCAACAAATAATGTTAAAAATATTTTTACAGTATTCAAACTGAGAATGCAATCCTGCAGGATCATCCCATCAGAGATTGAATTAAATCAATTAGTTTTGCTGTTTGAGGTGAGTTGTTAGTGTGTGAGTAGTAGCAGTGACTAGTTGTGAGTTGTTGTCCATAACCTTAGCATGTTTTTTAAATTTTATTTGAAAACTAGTAATTTATACCCCGTTCACATTACAGCCTGTATCACGTAATATAGGCTGTCTTCCAATGAACACTCATACATAGAATTTCCAGTGAAATCTAGATGTATGCGTGCTCATTGCAAGACAGCGTATATCACGTGATATACGCTGTAATGTGAACGTCATACGATGAATCAATAGGAGATACGAATCTGTTGAAATAAATTCTTTTTCAATTTTCCATGAGAAGCTTTTGAAAAGTGTACAAATAAAAAGTTATAATTTTGTCACTGTTTTGATAAAATAAACGTTTTCCATAACCCAGACGCCATAATCGAGTATCTGGTTGCGCCTCGGTCTTTGACTCCCAGCGAAATAATTTTGTCACACCAAAAAATGTTCACACAGTTTTCATTATATCATTCATCAGCTTGAATTACGTTGATCGATATTACAATGTTTTTTGCTGTGTATAAAGATTTCAATACACTTTTTGAGTGTATCATCTTTTTGACAGAATCCTCTTTAGAATCCATCTTCTGATTCGGGCGAATCGTTTGGAGAGACGTGAAAAAGAATCTCATCTCACTCCTCACCCTTTGCAACAGAAAGCCAAAAAGCCCGTGCAAAACTCATCCGCAAGACAGCGAATCATCAGTTACCGAAGAGAACTCAAACGCGATTGATTGTGTTACCGTGGTTATACTGCGTGTGCGCCTCTCTTTTGCAAGAAGATTGTAGTTTTTCTTAAACCAAGGAAAATCTATTCCGTTTCGCTAATCCAATCGGAATAGCTAGTTTTCGGTGTTGAAACGCTAAAACCTACAGGCTAAAAGGTAATTACCGCGACGGATTCTAGTTTAGTGTTTGGAAATTGTGGATTTCTGGTGGCTGAAAAAAGGCCAGTGCTTGGTCATGCCTTTCTTTTTGGTGCATTGTCATCGAGAAATCGATCGGAAAATTTTTCGTCATTGCTTAGCTGAGAAAATTAGACTAGGAAATCGCTGATTTTCAGTTCAAATACATTATTGGTGTTTGATTTGGTGATTGTGGAATGAGTGAGACATGTAGGAAATTGCAAATGTTACTGAAGAAAATTCTGTTCAAATCGAACCACACGATTTTTTCTCGCCATTAATGAATGTCGCTCGTGTGCTACGCCCTTTCTGGAGATGGATGGTGCCGAAGGGAGGCTAGAGGCTGCTGGAAAAGTGGTTCCCGAAGAGACAGTGCGGCAGTCTTTGGATTGTTCTTTGATACACACAACATTGGACACGCGCACACCAACACAATGACACTATTTGTTGGAGTAGGAGGAGGAGGTGGTGGGACTATCCCCATTCATTCAAGCAGGCCAGCCACATTCAGGGTCATTCGGCCAGGATATGCAGGAACATGAAATTCTTTATGCTAAAATATTCCAACCGACTGTTGTATTTGGGCGATTGCTGTGGATGCATCAATCAGAAGCCGTGAGCTGTGAGCGATCATATGGTTGATGCTGGCAGTTTGTTTTTAGCTTGCTGACTAATCCGATCTCTTCAGCCGTGCTGCAGTCATCGATTACCGTTTGTTATTGATGACGTTCGTTTACGGAATTTAACTGCGACGACATTCCTCGGAAACGAGACACAAATGGTTACCAACAAAACTATCTTTTCCTTCCCATGGTACCATAGATTATCCAAAACGGTTCGATCGATTTTTTGATTGCCTCTCTAGTCCTTTTATTAAATTAGATAAAATAAATTCTAAGTCATTTGAAAAAAAAACCGAATAAACTATCGACATAGAAAAGTGTACACATAAGGTGGGTCAAGTTTGTATGGCGGATTAACACCCCCACATCCGCACTACTCTTTTGATTTGTATTACCCAACGTCTCCAACAACTGTGCCAAATTTTAACGAATTTATTTGCGGGACAATTATTTAGTTATTATGGGAAACAGACAGATCTAGATAGTATTTCTAATCAGGATTGCTTTTGAATAATCTTACAAACTAAATATTATAAATACTTACAATTCTCGTCAATCTAAGCAGTGTCCGCACTTCTATTAGCATTTTCCCAGCGTCACGCACATATATGACGTGTCTGTTAGTTTACATTCATCTGCTGCTTGCTTCTCTATCCATTCTAATCGACAGAATTCTTCAAAACTGTTTGAAAGGGTTTTTACAACGCTCCAAACTTCTCAGGTGAGTGTGACTATTGTCGGCAGCCTCGTTTTCTTCGGCAACCTTCCCATTAGAACTGCGTGTTAACCAGCTGTTCTATTATCGGCAACTTGAAATCAACCCCATTTTAGAGTACGTATGCTTCATTTGAATACAAATCTGGCATAACAGGACTGCTCAGACGTACACATACAATCAGATTGAAGCTGAAAGACTAAAGAATCGTTTGGATGCATTCAGGGAAGTGTGTTAATGGGAAAACATAGTGAAATTAACGTTTAAATTTTGGTTGCCGAAAACAGTCAATGGGTGCCGAAGCCGACATTTACCCTATTATTTCATAGCTTTCTGTGATTTTTTTTAAAATTTCAACAGCTGAACGTTCGTTAGTTTCCCTATAATTGTTTTAGATATTCTGTGAAAAATTACAGCATTTCGGTAAAATTTCACAGAAACCTGTGAAATAAGCTTAATGTATATGTAACAAATGTAAACAAATTGAGATATTAGGGCCAGTATATATATGGACCACTACCTTATTTCTGTTTCATTTTCCCATAAAAACTATTTGTCGGCACACCGATCAAAACAGCAAACGATCAATACGACCCTAACTTCTATGGTGGCGCCAATTGTAACAAAATTGTCTGAAGCGTAAAAACTCTACATACGGCCTGTTGTTTTCTTTTTTTCCTAATAAAATTGCAAATTTTGTAAACGATCAATGTAAAACTGTCTTGGGTGGTCTATACAATGAAAAGTACGATTTCCGTGAGGTATTACTCTTCATATTTTTTAAACTGCTAAAATGCGCGCTGTCGAATGGAACATTACAGCAAAAAGTCGTATAGTATTTTTTGGTTAAAAACCTGAATTTATCCACCTATGGTGACATTTGACCGTTCTTATTTAAATTCCGGCAAAACTTTTTTTGATTTGACTTTAATATAGAGATTTTCCGACTGCTCCGACTGCTCAAGGCCGCAATTATTGAAGATTAGTTTTTTTTTTAACTATATTTGTTTCAAATTCAAAATAAATATCATATCATTTTAACCTAGGTGCTCCAGCTACTATAGTAACTTACCAGCCTTAATTGTTATGATATATATATATATATATATATATATATTAGACCTGTTCATTTTAAACGAAATGTTCGGAATGTAACGGGTCAACCGTGATTACTGTTCGTCATGTTAATTTGTACTTCTGTGTAAATTTTCAGCAAAATCGGTGTTGATTTAGAGGTGCTTCTAGTTAATTTTATGTTTTCAAGGTAATTTACGGCTTATAATATTTGTATCTCGAGACTGGAACAACGAAAGCTGCTGTAACAACTTTCATAGCAAAGCTTAATGTGTTATCTACCAACTTTGTGGTCAAAGGTTGACTATTCGAAGTGATTTTATTGAATTTTCACTTAGTTTCATGCTCGAAGATATCTTAAAATGTGAAGAATTTTAAAGTATTTGTTCTACGAATTTTCCACCCATATGATATAAAAATGTGTAGTGTACGGCATAATGTTCCTCATATTGTTCTAGAAGTTTCGTTCCAACATAGTTTTCGTGTATATTTCATAGATTGAGAGATAAAAATCAGAAAAATTCTTGCACTAGAATTAATGTTTCGAGAGGGGGCGACCCCGGCGTAGTGGTTAGCATTCATACCTCTCACGCCAAAGTTATGAGTTCAAATCTCACCCCCGGACAAGTCACGAATGACCCAAGAGCGTTAAAGTGACTATAATTAAAAAAAAGAATGTTTCTAGATTTCATGCTCTAGTAGAACCTAGAAGGGTAAGTTAATTTGTATTCTTCTTTTTTTTTTTGGAATATCAATCAATCATCAACATTAGTGTTCCCACACATTCACACATTATTAATACGAAAATTTAGAACATGTATTTAATGTTTTTAGAACGAAAATTTCCTGGATAAAACACATTCACTGTATTTACTTGCTTGTATGCTTCGAAGCATAGCGCAATCCTTAATCCAGTTAAAAATTCTTAGGCATAAAAAAAGATCTCAGATTTAGGACCCTGAATGCAACAAACAATCGAGAACCACATTTTTCTCAAGACTTTGGGTATTTCAAAGGAGCACACATTTAGAAATGATTACCGACATCGGTAATGTTTACACCGAACTTTCAACAGCTGAACTGTTCGGTAAAATCAGGCATTTCAATTAATTATCAACAAGGGAAACTTTACTGCATTTGCAAGACTCAATTGTTTAAACAATGCTGACAGAGTTTTGAAATTAAAATTTAGTGAAACAGCTTTTGAATAGAGAGCAAAGTTTTACCGAACGTTCAGCTGTTGAAAGTTCGCTAAAAAAGTAACGGATGTTGGTAATAATTTCTAAGTGTGGAGGGTTATTACACCTTGCGTGAATTTTAGGTTTCGAGAGGAATTTGCATTTGGCGCGGATTTCGCGCATTTTTATGGCACGGAAAGCCATGAAAATGAAAATATTGCTATACTTGTATTTTTCAACTATCAATGCACTTTTTATTCAAGTTGAGTTTGAAATAGTAATTCGTATTAAATAACACTCTGCCTACCATATCTACAACGCCCCAACCCTTACGTACCTTAGCAATCAGGCAAAGGCCATGATGTCCTTTACTGTCCGAAGAAGTCGTCTCTACTCTACTCGATCCATGGCTACACTGCTGCACGTCGCCTGCTACTTGGTCGATCCACCTTGCCCGCTGCGTGCCTCTTCTTTTAGTTCCTGTTGGGTCGCTTTCGAGAACCATTTTCACTGGGTCGTCCTCCGGCATTCTTACAATGTGCCCAGCCCACTGTAGTCGCTCAAATTTTTGCAGCGTTGACGATGGATGTTCTCCCAGCAGCTGGTGTAATTCGTGGTTCATTCGCTTCCTCCACGTTCCGTCTTCCATCTGCAATCCACTTTAGTGGTTCGCAACACCTTCCGTTCGAAAACACTAATGGTTTTCTGGCACTAATACTTATAATTTATCCCAAAGTTCTGCACTAATACTTGTGCATTTCACAAACGTCAGAGAAGTCTATAGTCCAGGTCAAGGTGACAACATCCCAGTTCTTCTTATCATACCTTTTGTTTGTCCGCTTTACGCATAATCTGGGTAAACTTTATATCTATATTTGGCGAGTGACGATTTTGAATACGGCTGATTTTTTTTTTCTATAATTTTTGAAGGGGGGAGGGAAAGGAAAGTTAACAAAATAAAAATAACATTTGCATCAACTTAAATGTAGGTTACAATTTGGTGGTATAAAATAATTGCAAATTACCCTACATCCGGTAGGAATTATTCTAATAGTTATTTGGTGCTCTGCAAGTAAAATTATATTGTTCCCTTTTTTCTCTATCAGTCCAACTTACCGCGATTTACCCTAATGCAAGAAAAAAAAATAGCAAACCGATTGGCTATGGGATTTTACTATCAACAGTGAACAACTTATCACTATTACGACAGCGTCAGGATTAAGGCTAAGAACCCTGCAAAGGCATAGCGCTTGGTTTCTGCCATCAGAGACTAGACAATAATAAAGATCTGTATGGCGCATACTCAGAAGATCGTCAGCCTGCTCTGGATTCGTTTCCAGTTTTTTTTTTCTCGCCTGTATCGATTTTTCACGAAGCACGACATACCAC